AGAATATCGAAACGCGGCTTTGATTGAGGGAATAATTTTTGTGGATTTTTTAGTCGTTGAAGTTGAAAACGAAAACGGCGAAAATTAGCACCTTCGACAACTGCCTCTATTTACGTATAGTCGAAGTGCTAAAATCGCTTAAGCTGCTCCATACATTTGGAAAGGTCGAGCTAGAAGTTCCAGCAAGGGAATCTCACTAGGACGCTTTGGAACGAATTTCAAGAATTTTGAAGTTACCAACCTTCACCTCGCCGATATTGGGCAGCTCACGTCTGTTCCACCTGAAATTTTATGCTAATATTTGAATGTTTCGCTGATATGTTTTGCATGTTCTGATAGCAAATTTCGTGCTCTATAACACTGCTATAGAAATCTGTTCTCCAGAGGTGTTTGCTTTCTTGTGAACTAGGGTTACGTTTCTCTGCACGAATTTGTGCTAACATTTGAATGTTCGGCTGATATGTTCTATAGTTTGATAGCCAATTTTGTGGGCTCTATAACACAACATAAAAATTGGAGCTGTTTACTTTCTGTTAAGTTCAGGTTATCTTTACGGAACGTGAGGTCGATGAGAATTAGAGTTCCCGACTTCCTCTCTCAACCGCTGTCCACTGAAGCTTCAAAGCTCCTAGAGCAGCTCAATAGAATCGCCATGGTTTGAGTAAGGCTTAGAGTAACAGATTAGTGTCAGGACAGCTCTTAGCGAATTTCCCGAGATCATGGCACGCAGCTCTGGATAGGCCTCCTGTTGTAATGCGAAAGGAGGAGCTCTCTGAAAGTGCATGATGCTTATCGATGACATTATTATCCACCTGAAAATACAAGTTGATCAATGGATTCAAAATTTACTGCAAGCAATGTATAGAGCACGAATTGGCTATCAGAACATTATAGAACACATTAGCGAAACATTCAAATGTTAGCATAAAATTCGTGGAGAACGGGAACGCTAGTTCTCAACGACTTCGCGTTCCGTAATGATAACCTGAACTTAACAGAAAGCAAACACCTCTGGAGAACAGATTTCTATAGCAGTGTTATAGAGCACGAAATTTGCTATCAGAACATGCAAAACATATCAGCGAAACGTTCAAATATTAGCATAAAATTTCAGGTGGAACAGACGTGAGCTGCCCAATATCGGCGAGGTGAAGGTTGTAACTTCAAAATTCTTGAAATTCGTTCCAAAGCGTCCTAGTGAGATTCCCTTGCTGAAACTTCTAGCTCGGCCTTTTCCAAATGTATGGAGCAGCTTAAAAGCGATTTTAGCACCTCGAGACTATACGTAAATAGAGGCAGTTGTCGAAGGTGCTAATTTTCGCCGACTTCGCTTTCAACTTCAACGACTAAAAAATCCACAAAAATTATTCCCTCAATCAAAGCCGCTTTGATATTCTAAAACTACGTGAAGTTTCCTATCAGATGATATCAGGCTTGCTTGCAAAACATTTCACTTTTGGAACAAAATTTTCATTTTGAAAAAAACGCCATTACTTAATTGCAACCCAAATAATTTTTGCTCTTCCTCTCATGAAGGGCGTCTCATAGGCGCTGTTTGATGGTTTTCCGGCTAAATGCTTCAACTTATGAAGTACAATAGATATGGCGCTTGCTACATGGATGTATGAATGCATACGTGCAGCCGTATCTATCAGAGCGGTTGTTGGCACAATGCCAGCGGCAATCTCGTCCAAAAATGGTAGTCCAGTGCAGTGCAAGGTTTCCTCCCATAGGTTTTTGGCCGCCTGATTTCGTTTTTTCGTCATTTTCCTACTATATAGCACCCCTGCTACTAATTCTGAGCAATTCTGCCTTCTCTCTAACCAAGACAAATGATGTCTGAAAGTTTATTATCGCTAAGATTATACATCAGTACATAAAACGAAGACACGTTGTTGATAGCTGATTTGATACAATGGCTGATGATCTATTCGATGATGATGATAACAAAGTCACGTCACATCTACCAGGAACCATCCATCAGAAACCTTTTGTGGCATTGATGTAATCCCGTGTGAACGCCTCCAAATATGGTGTCACGCTTTCATCTAGATACTTGGTCTTCTTTAAATAAAGCAACAAGACTTGGTGTATATACAGGTACTGGTGTTCAGTCTGGAACAGTAAACAGTTTTGTCTGTTCATTGAATCGTTGACACTTGTCGTTAAAACAGAGGATGAATTGGCTAGTGGGCGGGGCAGTGATTGCCGCACCATTGGGTGAAAGGAGTTGGCTACAGCTTGGGTGACCTCACTCAGGCTGCGTTTATACTTTGCGGCAGCGTAGCGTAGCGCTTCCAGCGTACGCCAGCGGCAGTGCCGAAGAGAGGATGCATATCGATCTAGCTTCACCAGCGTCACCAGCGGCACGCTGGCGTAGCGAGGGCACGGGAAGCATAGCTATCGATCTAGCTTCACCAGCGTTTCTCGAGCGTTTCTCCAGCGGCACCAGCGTTTTGCTAGCGCTTGCAGCGGCAGGGAGTAGAGACTATGTGGCCGTGAGAGACGCGGAATCGACGTGTATTGTAGAGACCATGTGGCCGTCGGAGACGCAGAAGCGATGTGCATTGTAGAGATATGTGGCCGTCGGAGACGCAGAAGCGATGTGCATTGTAGAGACTATGTGGCCGTCGGAGACGCAGAAGCGATGTGCATTGTAGAGACTAAGGGCGAGTGAGAGACGCGCAATCGATGTGTTTTGTACCCTCCAGCTCTCCCATAGTCTCTACTCCCCTGCCGCTGCAAACGCTAGCAAAACGCTGGTGAAACGCTGGAGAAACGCTGGCGTACGCTAGCGTGCCGCTGGTGACGCTGGTGAAGCTAGATCGATATGCATCATCTCTTCGGCACTGCCGCTGGCGTACGCTGGAAGCGCTACGCTACGCTGCCGCAAAGTATAAACGCAGCCTAAACAGTGTTCCAGCAACTTCAGTGTGGACTACCACTTCGTCTATGACACGCAGCTCCGGTCACAACTCATTCCCTTTGGTCAAATAAGAATCACACTGCAAGCAATTAAATTAGGATAACCGTGCAAGTATCGAAGAGAACTTGCACGTGGGAAGAATTATAGTTCAGTTATCGAAGAAGATACACGCTGAGCATCGGCGGGATTAGATAACCCACTAAAAGATGCTCGATTTGCCATGGGGACGCGAGTACAGCGACCCATCGCACTGCCTCCCACTTCGTGGCCCTTGGAAGGAGCGGACCCTACCAAAGCCAAGGAGGAGGGGCTGCTAATGAGTGAGACAAAATGTCTCTCTGTCTCCGCCTATAGGATTAGCATGGACTCGCTAATAGGGAACATTTTGTCAAATCTCACTTGCCTTTCGCAATCGTTCACGAGAGGGAGATTATCACCGAGCCTCAGCCACCAAGTTGTCCGAGCCCTTTAAGACCTGAACATCGTTGCAGCAAGCACCGCTAGCAGCTTTGACGCCACGCCCGTTTGAAATGCAAGCTGAGGTCTCTTTTGTTGGCAACGTCTGCGTGTCTGTCGCCCCCTCGCCTTATCTTTATGTTCTGTGCTCTCACACTTCGTGTCCGGTCTCTCTCACTGTCCCTTCTTCTCTCGCTCTTTCGTATGCTCGCCCAAATCTCAAAATCAATCAGCTGCCACAAAGAGGGCTTGAGGGGTCCTAAAAGACTTTTCGGTGAAGAATCAAGTGCGAATGCCGAGGACGAGCGTAAGGGGCTTATTGACGAACGGAAAGGCTCGCCAACCTGTATACTGTTGTTTCGTTGCTTACGAAGTTCTACAAGATAGGTGGAGATCTCAAGTAACGGTGCTGGTAAATGCAACAGTTCCATGGCGTGTTGAATTAACACTATAGAGCCAGTACGACCAATTCCAGCTGAGCAATGAACGATAATTGGAGCACTGGAAGAGACACTTGTGACAGAAATAGAAACCTGACGCCCAAAAGCTTTCATGAAAGACGTACGTGTTATCTTTAAGTCTTGATAGCAGCACAATCGGTGCCAGATCTGCGTCTGGCACCCCACGATCCGGCCAATCCTGCCAGTGATAGTGTTGACATAAGTGGAGGGGTTGGCCCGGTACACTCACTTCCAAGCTCCGTACAAGTATATGGATTCGAGTTTCGAATGGGAACGGAAGCTGGCAAAAGATGAGTTAAAGGAATCGTAGTATGTGTTTCGTAACCTGTACATGATCTATTATGCCCCTCTTTTTTGGGGCTGATACGACCCCCCATCCAGCCAGCCCTCTGTCCCTCCTCAGCGGAATCGCAGGCCGTTGCCGCTTCAAGCGGGGGGGGCGGATAAGTGGCCTCATGTTAAAAACAGGAAAAGCCGCGAGACGCCACTACGCGCCACCACCCCTTCTACCAATTCTCAGATTTTCCCCAAGTTGCTGCCACTTTCCCAAAATTCTCCGAAAAGTTCCCTACTTTTCCCCAAAAATTTTGCTGTCGAGCGCTGGGGAGGGGAGTGGGGGGGGGATATATTGGACAATGAAAGGAAAAATCACGAAAAGTCCAAACCACCACTCCCCACCACTTCATGGAAAAAGCTAGAAATAATACGACCCCCTCCGCTCCTCCCCAACACTGAGCAAGTACGACTCTCCTTTTACATCCGTCCGTAAATGAGAAAAATCAACATAATCAAAATAAATTTCTCAGCCTAAACCACGACCTCCCTCTCCTGGCGGCCAAAATACGACACCCCTGTTGAGGATTTCCTAACAACGATGTGCCCTGGTCTACCGGCTCAGACAGTAGAGCTCCCACAAATGCGAGAAAAGGGGAGGGGCCTCTACTACCGTTCTTTCCTAGGGAGTGTCCCACTGCGCGACTTGGGACAGCAGGGAATGACCAAAACGGGATTAACTTCGGAAGCGTTCATCGCTCAACTAGCCCTCCTTAGCACATTGATAATCGACCAAATGGATGACTGTCGCGTTTGTCTCCACCTACTCCTTGCGCGTTACCTCGACGACAGTGGGCGGGGTGAGGATACCTATTGCACCTTACGGGCGTTCTTAGTTCTTAATCTTCATCGAAGACCATCACCCACAACATACGAATGTCAGCGAAGCGCTTACCGGCTCCTGTTTCTTCAACGAAACCGTCACACCACCTTCGAAACTGACTGGCCTGTCCTCTTCGGTTGGAAAATATTCGGCGCATTTTTTTGCGTTCTGTGATTGGATCCGATCATGATCTGACTCTGCATGGCTAGACTGTGCACTACAAACCTGTTCTATAAAATTACATAACATAAGAATGGCTACAGACTTCTCTTGTACTACCATGTACCAGAAATCCGGACATGTTTTTGGTAGCGGAGCCTGAAATTAAATGAGTCACTCGGTGAATCGACGCGACTAGGACTGGACTTCACGTTCGCTTACTTACCTATAATCAGGCTGCTAACTAGTATTGACTCTAACCTGAGTACATATGAAACGTTTTGGATTTGTCGGTGATGAAACGTAGTTTGCGTGAATATATGAAACAGGGCCTATTCGTATAATAACGCGATCGTTGTCAAGGCAGCCGACATCCTATAAACAGAAGATTTCAGAAAATAAGGGTAATATTTCCATTCAAGGCGAACCCATCCAGGTGGTGTAGTAGGAAGTGATGCCGCTCACCAATGGCTTGAGTGTGAGAGCCTGGATAGTGTCTGGGCCAACCAAGCTCCATCCCTCCAGCCTCGCGCAAGATTGCTGGCAAATCGCTTGCAGGGTGTAGTCAATGGACTTTCACATGGTTCACCTGGATAAGGACGACACAATGGGTGGCGGAAGGAGGGGTGCAGCAGCGCGTCATTTCGCGTCATGTCTGCTTGCCTGCGTTCTCTTGTCGAGCAAGGAAGTTGCATACCCATTCATTCTCTCGTATGGACCCACGATTTGAGAAATAGTGACAAGGCCAGAGAAGGCATGCATAGTCTCCAAACCTGCGCATAAGGCATTGTTCACAGTCTGCGGCCCAGCGTTTCTCTAGAAAGCAAGGCTCCGGGAAAGCTTTCGATGGGTATCGATTGGCGGTTGGGCGAAGAGTCTGGCGGTTGCGCAAAACGGTTTTGATACGGGCGGGCGGTTCACGAAGTGACTGGGCGAAAAGCCCAACCACCCTGGCGTTTTCCTCTAGGGCGGAGCCTGCGAAATCGATACGCATCTATTGCTTTTCGCCCAACCGCTGAACCGCGGCGGTTCGTCGAACGGGGCGGTTGGCGATTCTCCGATCAATAAGTATTTTTTTGCTTCTCGGGGTCTCAGACTGTGAACAATTCCCAAGAGTTCGTTCCAGCCCCAGGTATTGATCGACGTCGCGGAACCCTTTGTGACCTTCAATAAAGATCAAAAAAGGCAGCTCGAAGTGTACATCACCAACCTTGTATCGATTCCTCCCTTCAGCATTTTGTGCAACAAACTCAGTCATCTTTGTGAAATCGTTAACCCGTTTCATTGATTTAAACTCCGCTATTAATCCTTTTACACCTTTTTTGAAGGTCTCTTCCACAAATACTTTTACCTGCAATAGAACTGCTTACATCAGCTCTACTTTCTTTACTGTTTTAAGGCACAGTGACTTCCGGGAGGTGGGATCTTTCCGTGCGCTAGCTAGGTAGGTCCACAAAGGATAGGAGAGTATGGCGCGATAGGATGGAGCAGACAGGTGGTAGAGTACAGGGAGATAGGAGGGCAAGAGACTGGGTATCATCTGTGTGCTACCCTCCTATCGCGCCACTCTCCTCTCCCGGACGCTGGTAGACGCTGGTGGACGCTGGCAGACGCTAGATCGATATCTATACTTTCCTAGTCGCTGACGCTGCCAGACGCTCGGAACGCTGGTGGACGCTATTGGTCGCTAGAGGACGCTCCATCAGGGAATGAAAGCAGCCTTTTGTCTTCGCCTTACATGCCATACTTACACCATGGCGTATTCAGCAGGTGTGGAGCTTTACCCCTGAATTGCAGCAATGCGCATATCAGCAGAATTTTCCTCGCTAGCCGACTCTTTAGACACAGACTCGAAGTGAGCTGTCGACTTGTGAAACGCTGAGAGAACTGATAAAGTCCACCGCACCGCGCGAGTTGTTACGTTGAATAGACTGGGTTCTCGTGCGAATGTACAACGCCTATTTCTATCCGACTTTGGAGGGGGAGTCACTGGAAAAGGGGATATACCACTGAAGCAACTTTGCGCCTTAATCCCTTTACCGTACAACTTTCCGCCGCGAAAGTGGCACAGGGTTGTCCACTCCGGACCACACTACCTTCCCACATAACCTCTTGCATTTTCATAGGTCATCGCGGACCGCTCCTTCAACCATTAGCATACCTGAGCACGTTTTGCTGCCCTTGACACACGTCGCGAACCTTCTTCTGTAGTTTTTCCTTGCACACTCTGGCTAGCAGCTGTTTGGATTGATGTCCTGAAAGAGTTTCCGCAGTGGAAATGTCCTTCTTCTAAGTGTAACTTTCACTCACCTCTGCTGCACGGAAGGTGTTTCTTCTTCTCTGAAATAGATTCCTTATTGTTGAAAGAAATGAAAAGTTCTTTTAGAAGAACACGGTTTTCGGCTCACAATTCAATTTATTTACGTGGAAGTCTGTCTCCGGAAAGGCTTTGATCCCTGGACATACTATCGCATATGACTATGACTATATGACTATTGCATCCGTTTCGCACGAGACCAAACGGCGCACGCGCTATAGGCGACACGCCATGTTATCCCAGAACACCAAATTTGGTAAAGTTCGCTTCATGTTTCTGCTCCTCTGGAGTATCACTAGATACTAGGCACCCAGAAAGGGTGCTGCCTTCTCCCGTTGTATTTTTCTTAATTTTCTCTCCCTAAGCCCCACAACCTATTGGTACGCAATAACTGCCTGATTGGCAACGGGGAAAACAAACAGGAATGCTGGTGCGCTGTGCACCACTTTGTAACGTAGCGCCAGGCTATTCGGTAATGTATCAGAGTCGCAACTACACTAGCAGGTAAATCTAGCCTAAATCCTAGCGAATCCTCCACTGGTAAGAAAAACGGGGGGAAAAACCTGCGCCTGTTCCAAGAGGAATGGGGCCAGTTAGGCGATGGACACTTGTCGAAGCCTGCAGTGACGCTTCTTCAAAGAGTCATTCCGCGATAATCAATGGGCGGAGATTCGTTCATTTCCTCGTTGGTGCATCCTTTCATCGATTAGTGTGAAGGGCCACCAGGACGACGCAATCACAATACAGTCATAAGTCCCTCTCCAGCCATTAGTTATCGAAGAATGTGCATTCAAGCTCACGATGAATACTCTCGAGTTCGGAGCAGTGTCCATGCAATGAGCTGCTAACCCTCCTAGTAAAAGCAGAGGAACTATAAACACTATTATGCTGTAAGCACTACAAAGCCACAGTAATCGCTTTTCCCATTACGATGGCTTCAGCGTAAATCAGCGGCTATTTCTCAAATTGGCGCGACTAATCAGATAATGCCTCTAAGTCTTCTTCCTCTCCCTAGCGTGGTTCCGCACTGTTCGCTCTCCAGTGGTCCGCTGTTCTTGTTAGACGTCGCCACTTGTTCCGATCCACTGCATCTTCTGCCGTGGCTTTCACTTCAGTGAGGTCCTTCTTGATGACGTCCCTCCATCTTTTCTTTGGGGCTCCTCGTGGTCGCTTGCCCTCTGCTTCGAATTCCAATGCCTTCCTTATTGGGTGGTCTTCAGGCCTTCTCAGAACGTGCCCATACCATCGCAGTCGCTGCTCTCGTGCCTTCAGCTGGATCGCGAGCCGTCTACCGCCCTGACGTCCTCGTTCTGACTCTATCGAGTCGTGTCCACCGCAGGCCCATCTCAGCATCCTCATTTCAGCTGAGTGGAGCTGCCTTTCATGGTTCTTGCAGATGGGCCAGCACTCACTGCCGTAGAGCATTGTAGGCCTTACCACCGCCCGGTACACCTTGCCTTGAGCGTTCTCGAGCACCGCCGGTCGCATAGGATGCCAGTGGACTTCCTCCATTTCATCCAGGCTGCGTTGTTTCGGGCTTTCACCGCCTGGCCCACGCTGACATCAGTTGCTAGGTCTCTTCTCAGGTACTGGAAGCCCTCGATCCTTTCGATGCTCTCGCTGTGGCGGTGTACGATGGGTTCGGTACACTCTTCAGAGCTCAGGATCCTGGTCTTCTTTACGTTTAGCCGGGAGTCCATTCTCAGCGAGCACATTCTGCTGCCGCTGCACCTTGCTCCTGGAGCTCTTCCCTCCTGTCCGCTATCAGGGCGATGTCGTCAGCGTAGAGGATGGTTTTCAGTGGCCCCCATGAGTTCTTTTGCCATGACATCCAGAGTCAGGAGGAAGAGGAACGGGCTGAAGGCTGCTCCTGACTGTACCCCAACCGTAGTGTCTACCTCATCTGTAAAGCCATGAGGGGTGCGTACAGCGTACAAGCTGCTTTTAGGAAAACCCCCCGATCGCGCATGTCCTTCACTGTGAAAACTGGGTGCTCCGGAACGTCACGTTCCCTAAGCGCCTCCAGAGTACAGGCCAAGGCAGGCGGTCGAATGCCTTCTCAAGGTCCAGGAAGGCTAGGTAGCAGGGTCGCCGCTTCTCTCGGTACTTCTCCATCAGCTGTCTGGCGATGAAGATGGCATCAGTGCGTGGACCTTCCGAGCATGAAAGCCCGAACTGTTCTCTGCGAGTAGCGGACAAGTGCCTCAGCCTTGGGATTTGGCCAGTGCGCTCGCATACAGCTTCATGGGTATGCAGGAATCAACTCCGCATGCCTACGCGTAGTTTTGAAGCCACTCCGCGCGTCCGCTTTCTGTTATGAGGATGCGGACGCATTCGTGCTGCCTCCTCACTGCACCCGCCCACCCTCTTCACCTGTTACGTATTTTTAAGGAGTGTGTGAACTCAACTCACCCATGCTCTCCAAGGGCCCTCCCATGCCTCTGTCGGGTACCCCGTCTGGACCCAATGCTTTCCCAACCTTCATTCTCCTTAGCTCACGGCGGACTTGATTCTCCGTCCAGCGGCATGATCAGGATCTGCGTTCGCTCTATTTATGGGCTATCCTTGTGGGGGAATTTTTTTGTTCCGAAGTCCCTCGGAGTATTCTTCCTACCTCTTTCTGACTTCGGCTGGTCTCCTGAGAATGACACCGTTGCTGCTCTCACAGTCTTCACGACCCCGATGTTCTGAGCAGGGCGATGCCGAGCTTTAGTCTCCCAGGACTTCCTTTGCTTACTGTAGGATAGCCTCTACTGCGTAGGCTCAGGGGTCCTTTATTGGCCTGGTGGGTCTGGGAGCCCAAGCTCCACTATTCTCCTGGCGGGGCTATCCTCTTCTACCTTGCGCATTTTCCACCACTGAAATCTCCGCTCTGCTCTCACCCTCGTCTTCTTGAGGAGGTCTATGGCGATGTCTGCCAGGAGAGGCCTGTGCTCGAGGGCACGCTCTTCCCCAGGCAGTACCTTGATATCCTTGACGGTTTTGAGAGACGACCTTCTGCCAGGACATGGTCGATTTCCGTTTGTCTCCCTCCACTGCTGTAGGTTATCTTCTGAGTCCTCCTTTTCGCGAAGAAGGTGCTGCAGATTGCTAAGTCGTGGCTGTGGCTAGGTCAAGGATCCGTTCTCCCTCAGCGTTCTTTGCCCCTATTCCTTGACCTCCGTGCACCCTTTCTAGACCCCTTCTGTCACTTCCCACATGGCCATTCAGATCCCCAGCTATGGTGAGGTAATAATCCTCAGTGAGGTAATAATCTAGGCACGCCAAAGATATTTGAGCGGTGTATGTCTCGGAAGCACCCTCCAGTGAAGCATAGTAAGGCTGAGCTGTTCAGAAATGAGTATAGAGAGATAGGGTGGCATGTTCTAGCGTCCACTAAGGCAGTTGCGACTGGAGGCTTAGAGAAACTGCCAAAGTACAAACCGAGATCTGCTTTCAACAAATGTGATATGAGCGTGGTCTACCGTTAGACAGCTTATGGGATAACGCACGTAATCAACGTAATCACTTTCTCGGAAGCATTGAAAGCTACTCACACAGTCTGACCGGTTCGTTTCCGCACAGCCCTCTTTGAACCTTCCTCGATAGTTTTTCCTTGAATTCTTGCCCTTCGACCAGTCCGTCGTTTTCCCCTTCGTCGAGCAAGCTTTGACCTTCAAGTACTTTGATGCTCATACACTTACTGCATTATCACTTGCCGTAATCTCTAAAACACTTCAAAGCCACTCACGGAGCATCTTCTCTCTGCGTCAATTCAAGCTTGGTATCTGCTAGAAAGAGGATGTCACACAGGCTCAATTCTACAAGTTCGAAGGGGAGGGGGGGAGGCAATGAGTAGGGGGGTCAGGACGTGGGAATCGCGCAGAAGCAGGGTTGGTCAGCGCGTGATACGTGACCAC